GTCTTCAACATATCTTCGTGTCTGATCGCTAGGCGGATCAGCATGTTGCAGATCAGACGAAGTGCACTCAGCTCCGCTTGGTCCACCTGCTGAGACTGTGGTTTGCCCTTGTTTCCTCCCTTTCCCTTTCCTTTGTTCCCCTTGTCGCCTTTTCGGTGCTTGGCAGGCTGTTCCTGGACGGCCGACGGCCGATTCTCCAGCAGTGCCTTCTTGGCCTCCGGCGAAGCTTTCATGAACTGATGATACATGTCCCACTCCATCTCGTCTTGTTGCTCTGCCGTCGGTGGGAGAGTCATCTGGTCCTGTATGCAGCGGGTCAAGGCTTGCAAAGATTGATTGCCAAAGGACTGGGCAGCCAACAGCGTGTCTACTAGGAGCACAGTTGTAGTCCTGTTGGCAGAAGCGGCACGGGCGCCCTACAGAAACGCTTTTAGCTACCTGCTCTGTCTGCTCCAGCCGAGGCTTGAGGGCGGGGTGTTTGGCTCGCATATGAACCTTGATTCTAGAGGGGTCGTTCGCCCAAAGATTGCATTCAGGGCAGTGATTGCGCATCCGGATGTGCAAGGCAGGCACAGCAGCAAAAGCCTTCCAGTCACGTTTTTGCACAGCTGTGAGATGGGCCACAGCTGGTTCGTCAACCAGTTTCGGCACAAACTCAGAAGGCGGTACCTGCGGTGCCGGAGGCACCGGTGGTACCGGTGGTACCAACGTCACCTGTGATGAAGAGGCTGAGACCTCAGGCTGCGATACCCCATCCCGACACGAATGTCCTAGCAGATGGGAACCTGCTTGGGGCGAGGGCGGAACTGCGTCAGCAGAAGGGTGACAGAAAGCGTTCCCGTTTCGGAGCCGAGCGCCCGAGCCTGTATGCAGAACAGGGCAGTTTCCCAAGAGGATATGTAAATTAAAATTTCGCCAGCCATTGAACTCAGCATGACAATGTTTGCAGGTCGGCACGCCGCCTTTAGAATGCTGCACTTGGTTGTTCATCCTGGCCTCCGCGCGCAAAGTGGCACGAGCCACAACACCATGTTGTTTCACACGATGGGTATGTAAGACACCTGAGGTGGCAAAGGTGATGCCGCATTCCGGGCATGCGTGCCTCGGCTTTTCAACCAAGGTGATCTCTTGAAGGTGTACAGTCTGCTGTACTGTGTGAGCCTGGGCACCTCGTTGCAAGAAGTGAGCTCTGGAGCAAGGTTCGGCTCTGTGCGGTACCTGTGTATCAGGGTTTGAAACAGCTGCGTCAGGAGCAGAGGCCGTAGCCGTGAGCCTCCATTGGCATTGAGCCCTGAAGACTCGCAGTCACAAAGCCATGCCATTGTGCAACCCTTTGGGGCTGCAGCTCTCCCGGGAGAGCTTGAAATCGCTCCTGATTGCCATGGGCCTCTTTTAGCAGTCGCTGTATCGGGTCAAATTGCAGTTGTGCAAAAAGCTGTTGATTGGGGATGTGTGTTTCATGGCCTAGCTGATGTGTAAGGATGCGAAGGTGTCGCGCGGCAACTCCGACAATTTTCTGGACCTCCGTCGGTTCAAGCTGCAATGAGGTGATGCCGTATTTGAGCGATGGCCACACAATTGCAAACCAGAGCCTGATGCGAGTCTTCTGGCTGAGAAGGTGTCGAGCTCTGAGTACCGGGCGCAACCTGGAAAACACAGTGCCGGCTCGACGACAACGATAGTCGACGGAATGACGCTCAAATGCAGAGTAACTGAGCATGATGCCAAGGTATTTGTGCTGCCGCACGACAGGGAAGGCAAGCTCAGTATCCACACGAAGGTGTGCAACCCCCTTGTCCTTGAAGCGGATGGGTCCGAGGATCCGTTGAGCTAGCGGGCCGTGAAGCTGATAAAGAATGACACTCTTTTGCGCACTAACTTGCAAACCATGCGCACGCAAGATGTGAACAAGTCGAGCCAGCTGCTGGAGGCAGTCCTTTAGATCAGCACCGTTGGCAATGTCCCATTGAGCAATCACGTCGTCGGCGAAGATCGTGATGATGTCGGTGGCGTTGGGACCAAGGCTTTCACGGATCCTGCGGAAAACGTATGTAGATGCGATAGCCCAGAGCGCTGGGCTGAGTGGGCATCCCTGCCTTATCCCTCGGGCAGTGCCACATTGGGCCTGGCATCCATGATGCGTGATTTCTATCAGGATTTGTGCGTGTATCCCCAAGATATGATCAATCAGAGATTGGGGTACCTGAGCCTCCCGAAGTCCAGCCAGAATCACCCACCTGGGGAGAGCATCAAATGCTTGAGCAATGTCTAGGGAGAATGTGAGGCCCCCGACGCATGGCGCTCGAGAGACTCCATCTCGACGTCTTTGGACCATGGTGGCCCGAGCCGGTGCTCTAGCACGGCATGCGTGAAAATGCGAAGCAACTCGATGCAAAGCCTCCGTAGTGGAGCGACCTTGACAGTATGCGAATTGCGGTATGTCCCAGACATACTGCTGAAGATAAGTGCCGAGCTGATGTGTGAGCACACGGGCATGGGCCTTGTTGGCCGGGTGTAGCAAGCTGATAGGTCTAACATCACCCGGTTGTTGGGCCTTCTTGCCCGGTTTGGGCATCAAGAACAACGCAACCTGGCGGATCTCCAAAGGCAGCGTTCGCGGAAGCAATGCGAAGGCTTGGTTCAGGCAGTCACTCAGAGGAGCGCCCAGAATCGCGGCTCCGTACTTCCAAAGGGCACCTGGGGCGGCAGTGGGGTGTACCGCCTTGAGTGCAGGGAGGGTAGCCAAGGCCGTAACACAGGATTCTGAATCGAGCAGTCTCAGTGAGACCTGGCAGGGTGATGCACGCGAGGGTTGTGCAAGCGGTGCTTGGTATGTCTCCCGAAAGTGAGCTAAGAGTGACCGGCATTCGGCTGCGGGACCCTGGAGATGACCTGCCGAGTCACGTATCTGTAACCTGGGTTTGGGCTGCTTAGGGGCAAGAGTCCTAACAACCCGATAAACCGTTGTGATGCGACCCTGCTGCGCGGCCTTCTCAGCAATGTCCGTCTGTTCCAAAAGGAAACTGCGACGCTTTGCTCGCTTTTGTTGTGCGACCTCTCGTTCCATACGAAGTATCTTTGCAGTAGTGCTCCATAATTGCCATATCAGCCGAGCCGGTGGCAGAGGATGCAATGCACTGGCACGTCTTGAAAGCTGCGTCCTCTCGGCCCGTAGCCTCCAAAGGCTTGGGACCTGATCGGGTGGCTGCTGTGTTCGTGGCATCGGTGCCGTGTTGGGGGCACAGTTTGTCCAGGCCTTCTTCAAGCATCGGTCCATATCTGCAACGCTGGGGCTTGCAGGTAGCAGCCTCGACAGTTCTAGGCGAAACTCTTCCAAGAGGGCCGGGTTGGCCTGCACATCATCCCAGATCCGTCTGGGCTGCAGGTGTGATGCCTGTGATGCGCGTGTGGCACTCCACGGGCACCAGCGAAGCTGCATGCTACCCTGGAGTGGTATGTGATTCATGCCTTGTCGGGTCTGTGCAACAGGCCACTCCTGGAGGGGCCGTGTGAGTTTACTGATCCCGTCACTATGTGCACTGCGCAAGAAGACAAAATCTATCTGCGATACATGAGCGGTGGCAGAATTGCAGAAGGTGCCTCCAGGGGCCTCGCCGTAAGTGTTGACTGCCGTCAACGAGAAGGTCTGTAGCACATCCAGGAGGTCCTGAGCATCACGTTGGGGGCCAGGGGTGGAGGGGATACCTTGACCTACTATCCCGGGCTGTGACGGCAGTTGCGTGTTGGCATCGCCGAGCAGGCAAAGAACGTTCCTTTTAGGGATCCCTCTCAGGGCTGCGCTGAGCTTCTGAAGGTACTGTGCACGACGCGTCATACAGTCGCGCCACCAGTCGGTGCGATCGTCCTGTTTTCTGTGGCACCATGCAAATTGATACATATGTAGAATATCAAGTGGCTGATGGCCTTCACTGGGTGTGATGCGCACATGCTGCAGCCTACCTGGCACAATCGATGTGTGACGTACAGAGCTAGGCGGAGCGAAGCTGCGAGCAACACAAATGAGCAAACCTGCTTGCTTGTTGAGGCCGCTGCCATGATGCACAAAACTCCATCTAGCATCCTCCCATTCAAGATCCTCTTTCCAGAATGTCTCCTGAATGCAGACTATGTCAAGATCGGCTGTGCGTAGCCAGTGCTGCAGTTCTGCCCACACCAGCGCAGACAAACCACTGGCATTCCAGCAGAGAAAGCGGCAACGAGTTTGTTGTGCAGGTTTCGGTTTGGATTCGGTTCTCGGGGGGGAGGGGCAAGGGGGGGGGGAGGCGGGAATGGGCATGCGATGTGACTGCAAACTACGAGCTGTGTGAGGAGCACCTTTGTAAATCGTGATCGCTGTGTGGCTCGCCTCGAGGACGGCCTTCCGTAGCTTCTTTTTCCGATGCGGTATTTTTGGGGTATCTCGACCTAGGTTCGCCTCCGAAGAAGCTGCAATGGAAACCTGTGTGGCTTCAGGGCTGTCGGCCAACAGCCCAACCCTCGCGTCTGCAAGCTCGGATGATGTTGCAATGTTGGAAGTACAAAGCTTGCCCCCGGACTTGGGACCGGGGCTGGTTCGTGTGCTCATTGTTTCCAGTAGTTCGGCTGGGCTCGCTTGGGCAGGATTTGGGTTATGTTCAGCAAGGGATTGTGGTACAAAGACAGGAGCATGCGAGCTGAATGTGTTTCTTATAATGCGCAAGAAGAAGCAGGTGCATTCACAAGCTCAGGCGCACTGAATGCGACAACTGCAGCTCCTACTCCTACCTCTGCTTCAGGGTGCAAAGCATGAACTCTCTGAGGTTGCGACGTGGCAGGCACGAACTCCGGTGCATGCGGGTTCAAGGGCGCTGCAGCACCCGTTGATAGCACGCCGTGAAAATCATGCTCATGGTTCATGTTCGGCTCCATCCGCAAAACACTGAAAGATGAGAAGCACGCACCTAAAATCAAGCTGAAAATCAAGCTGAAAATCAGATTGGCAAATGGCAACCGTGCTGAACTCATGGGTCGTGAGGGACGTGGCAGGCAAGACTGCAGTCCAGCGCCTGCTCAGCTTCAGCAAGCACAGCCGGGTATGCTTTGCCAACGAAAGCGATCAGCTGGAGGCACTCTCCGCGAGGCAATGTCTGCAATGCGTCGAGAAAGAACTTGCTCACTGAAAGAGGTGCCCACAAATTGGCAGCTAAAGTCCGGGCGTAAATGCTGTCGTTCACAACACAGACCTCGCCAACTAATTCGCAGGCAAACAGTTTGGTATACTGCACTGGTGTAAGCAATGACGTGGCTGCAAGATATGGCACTTCGCGTGCTCAGGTAGCACGATCAGCCGCTACCCCGCCCCGCTACCCGCCCCTACGCCTCGCAAGGGGTCGAACGAACAGGGAACACCGGGAAACCACACAGAGGAGGGGAAACCCGGGTGCCCTGAACAAAAACCCAGACCCAAGCGGGGGCCCACCGCTACGAGTTCTCTTGAACCGAGACGTGCTTTTCCAAGCAGTTGTGAAAGTCCAGCTGCACCACCTTTCTCCTTGGTGTCAGCTTGACGTCACCGGTGGATCGAAAGCCTTTTTTGCCCTGCCTGCCCTGCTGCGGAGCAGGAGATGCTTTTCCAAGCTTCTCTTTGTCCTCCTCTGAGGCATCCCAGTCCACCTCCTCTTCGACCTCCTCCTCCTCCTCCTCCTTCGTCTCCTCCACTTTGGGCAGCTTTGGCCGCTTGCCTTGCGGGGTCTCGGAGCTGCTGGAGCTCGATGGCGGATTAGCTTTTCCAAGCTCATCCGCCTCCTTCTTCGCCTTCGCTTTTCCAAGCTCCTCTTCGTATTTGAGCTCCTCGAGCCGCTGCTTCATTTTGAAGTCGACTTTAGCCAACTTTTCCAAGTGTGCCTTCATGCTTTCGACCGTGTCTGGCTCGTGCTCGGCACCTTTTTTCTCCAGGACCTCCCACTGCTTGCCCCTTCTTTTGTCTTGGCTGGTCTTCGTAGTGGTGCCCGAGCCTTTCGGCCGCTTGTGCGAGTTGAGCCCCTCGGAGTCTGAGGAGCTCTTCGCCGACGGTTTCTGGCTTTTCCAAGCCTCGTCGTCCTTGGAGCTGGAGCTTTTTCTTTTCCAAGCCTGGTCGTCGTCCTTGTTGTCTTTCCAACTTTTGTCGTGCCAGTAGTTGGCGGGCTGGCTGGGGCTTTTCCAAGCCTCGTCGTCGTCCTTATCTTTCCAACTTCTGTCGCGCCCGTAGTTGGCGGGCTGGCCGGGGCTTTCCCAAGCCTCCCAGTCCCAGGACGAGCTTTTCCAAGCCTGGCAGTCTCTGCTCCAGCTATCCTCGTAGCTGTCGTTCTGCCAGCCCATGGCTTTTCCAAGCCAGCTGGAGAGCTGGCTTTTCCAAGCCTGTCGAGGCTGCCGAAGCCTCCGGCAGCTACAAGCTTTTCCAAGCCTGCAGCTCTTCGGCTACAGGCTTTTCCAAGCCGTGAGCCGGGACTATGGCTCAAAACTACGGCTGCTGGCTACGACTGCTAGCCTACAACCTACTGTGTCTGCGACTGTGCTGCTATAGGCCTAAGGAACCCCAAGAAGGGAGGGCCCTACCGGCGGCCCTAGCAGGACCTAAAGCAGCACTACAACCTGAAGGTAGACAAAAACCCCCACACCCCCAGGCTAAAAACCCGGCCTGAAGTAGAGAGAGAGTTATAAAGCCCCGGCCTATTATACCCTGAACCCCACAATCTATATATATATATATATCACATGTAGACCCCCAAGGTCTTTGAAGAAACCCAGTTGCTTCTCTCTGTGAAAGTGTTCTGTCTGTGTGCTCTGCTGTGTCATGCTGTCCTGGTCCATGCATGCATGCTCGGAGCCTCGCACTGCCGTGTATATATATATATATATACACGCACACGACATGCGAAAACGTACATGCAAGAGACGAAAATCAAGCTCCATGTCTCAATTTTTCGCAGCCAGGAGGCCGAGAAAGTCGAAAGCGGTCGGCCTACCCCTAAAAACTTTTCCAAGTTTCTGCAGGACCTACAGAGGCCAGGCTTTTCCAAGCGGGCCACCACAGTAGCGAACGAAAAAACGAAGCGGCAGCTAGTGTTTTTCCGATTTTCCAAACACGTCCTTCAGCAGCCATGTTGGCTGCAGAGGTGCTCACGGAGGTCCCTGGCCTCCTCCTTAGTGAGGTGCTCCTTTTCCAAGGTTGCTTTGATTTCGTCGATGATGCCTGAGAAGGCAGGGCATCTCGACTGCGACACCTCAATAATAAGCCGCATTTTCTCGCCAACCTCTGTCCTGCCAAGCAAGTAGGCCTGCGAGGGTTGCTGGCATTCGTTTTTGTGATGGCAAGCCATGGCTTCCGCTTTGGCTTTTCCAAGCCTTTTGGCTTTTCCAAGCCTTTTGGCTTTTCCAAGCCTTTTGCCGCCACGGCTTTTGCCTTTCCCTTGGCTTTCGGGGAGGCCTTCGCCTTCGCTTTAGCCGCTGGGGCGGCTTTCGCTTTGCTTTTAGCCTTGGCTTTCGCTTTCGGCGAAGCCTTTGGCTCGGCACCTTCTGCCTCAGCCGCCTCTGCTTTCCCAAGCAGCTTCCTCTTCTTCTTCTTTCGCTTCTTCTTTTTGTTCTCCTCGGCAGGGGCTGAGTAGCCCAGGAGCTCAGAAAGGTTCTCCTGCTTTGCCGGAACCCTGCTCCCGGCTCTCCTCCTGGAGACCAGGTCCGGCTGAAAGGGGACAAGTGCCAAACTCGACGATGGCTTTTCCAAGCCAACCCCGGGGTCCTTGGACGAAGAGCTGGGCTCTCCTCGCTGCTTCTTCGAGGCTGGGGGGCTGTCGAACATTCGTGGCAGGCCGAAGCTGTTGAGCGACACGTCGTCGCTGTCCCGCTTCTTAAGCTTCCTGGGAGTCTTTTCCAAGTCTCTGCTTTTGCCAGGCCCCGACTTTCCCAAGTCCGGCTGGGCGGACGAGGGCTTTTCCAAGCTTTCCTCGTCTTTAAGGGTGAGCAACTGCAGCCCAGCCTGCAGCTGCTGGAACTCCTGTCTGCTGAGCTTGGCTGCTGCCTTTCCCAAGGCGCCTTCTCCATCTCGCTTTATCTTGCGAAGATGGGTCAACAGACAGTTGATCCTTTCCACCCTTAGCCCAACCCACACTTGTCCGCTGCAATCCGAGGAATTGAGCGACGGACAGTGTGCAAGGAGCGACAGCAGAGCCGCCCTGAGGGGCTGGGCATGGACCTCCCCACTTGGAGAAACCTTCAAAAGGTTTCTCCACAGGTCCGCCAGGCCCACCAGGGCTTTCCAGTCCGGGGCCTGGCTGCTGCTTATCCGCTCGTAAGCGCCCATGTCGGCGACCATGGGCTGATAGAGCTTCAGGGCCGTATAAAGGACCCCGGAGTCTATCATGGGCTTCGGACTATGCCTTGCCCCGCCTCTGCCCATCTTTCCCAAGTGGACAGCTTAAGCTTTCCCAAGCTTCGCCGAACCGGTTTTCCCAAACCGATGAAGTAACAGTTGGGCTTTCGCAATCCAGGCTTTCCCAAGCCTATATATATTTTCCGAAGAGAACCAAAAAACCTGCTGTTGCAAGTGAAACTTTCGCAGGAAGGCCAGGGGAGGAAGGCGACTACCTACCTACTTTCGCTGCCTACTCTGCCTGCTCTGGCTGCTCTGCTGCCTGCATAGTGCTGTACTGCTGCTGCCGGCCTGCTGACCGATCTGGTTTAAGGTTTGTAGAGTGCTGTGCCTACCCAAACATATATTGCTTTTGCCTGCTGGACTGCTTCTGAACTGTACACTCTCGCTGGGAGCACGGCGGGCAGCGGCGGGCATGCAATTCGATCACTCCAAAAACATGCACTGCAGCACATGATATGCCAAATCAATCGCATTATGCATGCTTTTCCAAGCATGCACATCCATCATGAAAATGCCATGAAAATCATATATGAGAATCCATATGAGAATCAATATGCGAATCAATATGCTAATCAATATGCTAATCAATATGCTAATCAATATGTCGTTTTTTCTGCATATTGATTTTTGGCGCTGCGCCAAAAATCAATATCTGTTTGCGAAATTGATTGATTGTAATCAATATGGGATGCTCAGGGAAAGGCGCGGATGTCTGCCGCAAGGAGCTTCGCCGACTCGGCGTCTCCCAGAAGTTGCTGAGCCCTGCTCGTGAATTCGGCGACACTGTCGACCAGAGACGCCATCGTCCTGACAGGTCACAAAAACAGAAAAAGAGAGAGAGAGAGGCAAGCAAACACTGTGCACTCAGCTAAGGCTCCTACCTACTAGGACTGACGGACAAACACGCTCCCTCTCTTTTTCACTCCGCGTCAAAAGCCTTGCTGCTCCAGCAAGTCTTGCAGTGAGGCCGACCCGGCGCGAGGCTGCGAACTTCGCATTCGGTATACTTGTCTGTCAAGGCTCTGCCACAAAGGAGGCGTTTAGCTTGCAGACCACGGCTTGCATGCATCTTGCCACTGGCAAGATGACACCACGAGAAAGCCCAGTCCGGGAGGGTGCACTGCACCTCCCGCTGAAGACGGTAGTGAGCTTCCACCTCGGGCTCCTTCGCAAAATCGTCTTCCCTGTCAGTGTCACTGGCACTGTCCTCCGTGTCGCTGAGCTCCTGCTGCTGTGAGACCTTCAAGGCTTCCACCCCCACTGGGGGGGCTGAGCCTGAGGAGGTCTTCCTGTGAGAGGCCTTGCTGAGGTTCTCTCGTTTCCCAATAGACCCGGTTAGACAGATTCCTGCCGAACCGGTGACTTGTTAGATTTCGGGAAATTCCTGTCGAATCGTTAAAACAACAAGTTGCCGAATTCGGCAAACCTGGGTTGTCGAATCGACAAGTCGTTAACCGAAAGTAGTTGCCGAATCCGGCAAAATTTGCCGAATACGACAAAACTGCGTCCGATCCCTCGACACGCGACCAGAGGAAGTTTCGAGGAAGTTTCGCCCAAACTTCGCCCGAAGTTTGGTGGAAGTTTGGGGCGGCTACAAAGGGTTTGAGAGGAAGTTTGGTGGAAGTTTGAAGGCCTGAACCGAGGAAGTTTGGTGGAAGTTTGAAGGGAAGTTTGGTGGAAGTTTCGTGTGGCGATTTGGAGCACGAAAAGCTAGGAAATCTTGCACACAAGACAGAGATTCAAGGGCGAAGTTCTTTCTTTCTGCTTATAGATATAATATAGATGCAGCGAATTTCTACAGGCAATTCTTCAGATCTTCCCTCGTTGATATACAAGCAATTCTTCAGATCTTTCTGGTATAGTAGAAACAATAGAGGGCAGATTGATAAGCAATGCTTCAGATCTTTCCTGGTATATAAAGGCAATTCTTCAGATCTTTCTGGTAAAGGCAATTCTTCAGGTCTTTCTGGTAAGCAGTAGAAATGATATACAGAGCAAATATTTAGGCAATGCTTCAGATCTTCCCTGGTTTATACAAGCAACTCTTCAGATCTTTCTGTGGTGTTCATAGAGATGTGAGGTTCCTCAAACCTTTTTGGTAAACCGTATCAAAACATTATACAGAGCAGATATACATACAGGCAATGCTTCAGATCTTTGTTTTCAGGGACTTCTTGAGATGTGTCTGGTACAGAGCTATTATAACAGACCTGTGTATATATATATATATACACAGTGTATATGTGTGTGTATATATGTATATACGGTATATTCTTTTTGGTAGATTTAGTCAAACACTAAACCCTAAACCCTGACAAACACAACGAGAGAGAGAGAGAGAGAGAGAGAGAGAGAGAGAGAGAGAGAGAGAGAGAGAGAGAGGGAGAGAGAGAGAGACAGAGAGACAGAGAGACAGAGAGATACAGAGATGAAGCCAGCACTGTCTCTCGTGGTAGGGTTCCTCCCTTTCCTGTCTCCCGTCGTCGCACACGAGGAGAATAGTCCTGGCCGGGCAAGCATTTATGCATAGAAAACGTTGGCTTTGCACATGTGAAACACAACAACCGTCCTATACACCCTGTTTTTTCACAGCTCATGCTTTCGGAAACGGAGGTGGAGTGCGATTCGGTATCGCTGGCACATCTTCACCTCGGCCTGCCCTGGCTTTTGCCCCCTTGCGCAAGCTGCAGTTATTCTTTGAACCCGTCGCTGAAAGTCCTCGCCAGAGAAACACCATAGAAGACGTGGGTTTATGCTCCGAGACTCCAGTGCAATGTGCTGCAAGAATGACACTTCTCCGTCGTGGAGAAGAGGGGTGGATCATGGTTGCTGTTGCTGAAGTGTTGGGACAGCTGAACTTGCAGAAGTAAAAATCCATTCATGATTCATTGAGTCCCTAAAAGCGGCGGCATCTGCTGCTGACAAGGTGAACTGGAACTTGTTCTCCGCCAAAATCTCCTCCAGCTTGTTGTTCAATTTCAAGAGCAAATGGACTTTCCGGTGAAGCTCGACGGAGTGATTCATTGTGCTCGCCCATATCAAGAATAGCGGCTTCGCCAAAGATCGAACCTCGGCCGCCTTGCCTCGAAGGCCCAAAGCACGGACCTTGGCCCTGAAAAACATTGAGATCTTGTTCAGGTAAAGAAACCGCAATTCCGTACCAAAGGTTCGGTAGTGGATCTGGATTTGCGACCAAACCCAGTCCATGTTGGCCTCTGGGCTGCCGAGATTGAGCACATAAAAAACCAAAAGGAAAAGGACGGAGGAGTACAGCTTTCTGTCCTGCCCCAAATACTTGCAATGCATGTAGTCAAACCCCAAATTGCAGATGCTGGTGGAACTCATATGAAAGAGTGGGCAGGTGGACTTTTCCGCAGCTGGCAGCCCCCGCCAGGAACTGGGACTGTACACCGTGGCTTTCCACGGTGCATTAGGGTGGTAGTTTTGCCAGCTCAAGTGTCCGTATTTCGTCGCCTGGCACCTACAGCACGGTGACGATGCCGATGTCGACCGTGGCAGGTCCAATACACTCGCATAGTAATCGAGGTCACCAACCACGCTGGTAGATTGTGTATGTCCTTCTTTGTTGGCCGCATGGTCCCTCATACGATTGGAACGGACTGATCTGTACTGAACCAAGCAAATGAATCCTTACCGTGGGTTGTTGGCCATAAACCTTGCAGCTTGAAGTTGAAAGCTTTCACACAAGAACACAAGCCTGCAAATCCATGCCATGCCTGAAAGGTTTTCCTTCATCCCCAAAACGTGAAACCTGTTGCCGGCGTGAGCTGCGCTGCAGCGTACAATGTCCGACGAGCTTGCGGTGTGTTTATCCATTGCTTATGAAACAGTGTCACCGCTTTGAGGTTTGGGGTTGCTGTGGAGGGTTTAGGGTCAAGGGTTTACGGTTCCTGCCAACCTTCTTGGACAACTGTCGCGGTTTGGGGTTTAGGGCCTAGGTTCAAGGTTTATAGGGTCCAAAGTTTAAGATTTGCGGCCTGCTCAGTTGTGGAAAACCACCGGTTTGGGCGTCGGTTTAGAGTTTAGGGTCCAGGGTCTTCCGCCCTCCCGAAAGCGGTGTTGTCCTTATTTGTGTCCAATCGGGATGGCTCAAGAAGCCCTGGGTGCTAATTTGTGATTTTGTTGGCTTAGTTTTGCGAATTTTCGATTTTGCGCTAATTTGGGCCTAGTTTTTGCATTTTTTTGGTTTTAAAACTGATTTTGGATAGTTATGTCCTTATTTGTTTGAAAACCCCATCGCCCGAACCACGCCCGAACCACCAGTCGCCCGAACCACGCCCAAACCACGCCCGAACCACCGCCCGAACCACGCCCGAACCACGCCCGAACCACGCACCGCCGCGAACCACGCCCGAACCATGCCCGAACCATGCCCGAACCACAGCCCGAACCACGCCCGAACCACGCCCGAACCACAACAAAGCGAAACGCCAGAAATCGTGGCCCTGCCCAAAAAAACTGCCAAATGTGCTGCGCAGCGGGGGGAAAAACAACACAAATAAGGACAAAGCAAAACAAAACAACAAAACAAAACAAATAAGGACAAATAACGAAAAAAAGTCGTGCAAGGACAGTGTCAGGCCGATCCATTCCATCTGTCTCTACAGCTATGGGCCTTGGAGTCCAAGTTCGATCCAAGACAAGACCCTGGACTCTGGGAAGGGTTTAGGATTCAGGGTTTAATGATGGAGCAACACCGCATTGTTGAAGGAGTGCTTTGCAAACTGCATGCGTCTGGACATGTACGCATATGCATGCTAGCCGGCCCTAGGCGTTGACGGTACAGCTTGCAGATGGGCTTACGAACTGGACTCGACCTGATAACACTTCAGTGAGCCTGGCATGTTGCCAGATTCTGGCTCCTTTCTAGATTAGACCTGAACTGGGTTTGTTGATCCTGGTTTGCGCCTCGCGACTGC